GAGGTAGCCTCCGGCCTTGTGGTCATCGGAACAAGCAGGAAAGGCTTATGTTACCATGCATGCAAAAGGCACCTTTTCGGGCAAACTGTGGATTTTTGCACACAGAATATTAATGATTGTCTTTATTGATACTTAAAATATGGTTTCTTCTATTAAGAGAGAACAAATTTCCTGCTCAGGAGCAGCATATTCAAGCTTATAATACTTCAAATATGTTTTTAGTTTCAACTATATGATGCTGGTCGTTTTTTTATAACTTTACTGTGTGATACATGTAGTGTAACAGTGATGTTTTGTGTAAGGAATTTTATTCACTTGTGTGTTTTCTATCACGTATGTTTGTGTTAGTCTTGCTTTTTTATTTTTTATTTTCTTCGCTTTCATGATGCTGTTGCATTCCATGCTTGTTTTTCAATTTTCTTGGCTGCAAAACATGAATGCACACCCCAATCCTTCCACGACTGGGTTAGCTGTAGTTTGCATCTCAGGGTGGACATGGCGAAGTTTACCTGTGGGTATAAAGAGAGAAAAGAGCATAAATGAATCTATGCCAACTTTGGCCAGCTCTGATTAACTTAAATTAACAAGATTTGATGTCATGAATGTAAATATGCAAAGCATGTGAGTCTATTAATTTTACAGAATGCAATGAAGCAGACACATATATATATAACACATTTTCTGACAATGAAAATTGCGACATCATGAAGTATACATGCCGTATGAGATTTTTGCTGCCAGGTACTCTCACCTCTCGAATAAAAGTACCCCCTGGAATAGAAGTACCCCCCGGACAAATCTTCAAAATCTAATAAAAGTACCCCCTGGAATAAAAGTACCCCCCGGAAAATTTAAAAATTGACATGTAAGCAACGTCTATGCTCCAAAAATGTGTTCTCATGGTGTATATATATATATGTGTACGTCTGTATGACCTTGTCACTTGCAATTATTGACAGGTCCTGAATAAACATACCCCCTTGAATATGATTCCCCCAACAAATCTTCAAAACTTTATAAATATCAGGGATCTCCCCAGAAATTCAGAACAGGGTGGAGGAGGGTGGTCTGGAAACCACCCCTCCATGGGGGGAAGCTATTGCATTTTGTCTTTTCCAAACACAAATGGAGGTAATTTCCTGCAACTTCAGTTCTACATTTTCTGTACAATTGCAGATGTATAAGGCAGGAGAAAGGTTCAAGATTAAAAAAAAAGTTCTATTAGCACCCTAATTTTGAAAAAATTGGGCATAGGTTCCCCGGATGACCCCTAACCGGGGGCCAACGGTGCTTCCACAAGTTCAACAAGTGAAAAATACATGATACAAACTGTACATGTATTTACTACCTGGAACTTTGAGCAAGTTATTCCAAAGATGTACTTACTGACATTAATAAAAGTATATTAAAAACTAAACCAAATCCTATTTCCCAAACAAATCACATATTGACACAGCTGAACAAATAAAAATGTGATCAGGTCTATAAACTCCACTCAAAAACAATTTTTGAGAGACACTCGGGTACTAAGCGTGATAATCTCTAATATCTCATCTGATTCTCCCAATGTAAAGGATCTTTACAATCACAGCATCCAACCGCACATACATAGAAACAACAATATTACACAAGAAATCAATAAATTCGGAAAATTTCTCAGTAATGTTTGAAAATTATTCTTATTAAAATATAAGTGATTTTTTATTTCAGTTGTAGCCGAAAAATATTTTTCATGCGTTTAAAGTATCGTTTTAGCACTGTAATATGTACTTAGTACATGTTTTATACATTTGGATGCTATCTTGACCTTTGACCACTGTTATTCTAAAAGCAGGTCGGCCATTTTGTCTTTCTCGCCGTGGCTTTTCGAGCCGTTTTTTCGAGCAAATTTTAACCATTTTAAACATTTTACGGCCTCAAAAACTCATACAACGAGGAAAACAAGTTGTAGTTGTTATTTTCATGCGTAACATTTCTTCTGGGGATGGTTTATTTTTCCGCCGAGCTGCCGAAAACTAGCGTCAAACCGCAACCATGCGGTTTCTTCGCGGCGGCCGGCGGGAGTTTTTGTATCGGAGCTTTCACGATGTAAACAAAGATAGTCGGAGTTGTTTATCTGAAAATTTTGTTGTGAAACGCCAGCGGGGTGTCAGATTTTCTACTAATGACAACGTTTTCTTTGTGGCGTCATGGCGAGATCGACAATTCATCGACAATTCACAGGAATTTGTGCCGACAATGGAATGAATTTTCCCGGAACTTTTCCGATTTTGAAAAAAGAAATAAACGTACCGTCTAAAATAAGAATGTACCGGGTGGATTTTGAGGCGAAAAAAAATAAACGTCCCGGTACGTCTATTAAAGAGTTCAGAGTACTCTTAATCTTTTTTTTACTCCTGTAGACCCCAGAAGAAGAGAGTAAAGGCATCCCCAGTAAGAAACAGATGTCCTCGCAGGGAGTGGTGGGCTCAGGGTTCCACAGGAAACTGGTCGTCATGTCGCCTAGTCAGAAGGGCAGCAAGTTCACGTAAGGCAGCTTCATCACTCCTAACCACTGTCCTAGCCAGCTTCTGTCTTTCCATCATTTGAAGGAATTTTGTCGCTCATGACAGACACAAATTTTGCCCAATCTGTCATCTTTGATGGACAAAAATCAGCTATCATTTGTTACTTTCATGATTAATATTTTTCAAGGAGGAGGACATTGTACAAACCTTACAGGCTTCTTTCCTCCTCCTGCACACTATTTTTTTCTTTGTTTTGCATATTTTTATTTGTGCAAATAAATAAAATTTAATGAAAATACATTGTATAAAATGGACACTTGTTTTTCCCTTTTCCAGCCCAAACGGCCAGTCGTCTGCCATCCCGGTAGCCAACCTGGAGTTCGCTTCCATCTGTCTGAAAAACGCCGCCATGCTGCTGCCTGAGGAGTCAGCCGCAAAGGATGCTGGGAGCACAGGGCATGCTGGGACGGGTGTGCAGCTGGGTAGCCACGCCCTGGACTCAGGAGACATGTTTGATGGGTAAGTATTAGAGAGATTTCCAAATTCAACATAGAGCGTTGTCGGGACCCCCCATGCAGGCGCCCTTCAATGGTGTTGGCCTCCATGGATATGACTGCAGTTGCACTTCTTTCCTGTTGTTGCTATATAAAAATTCTACTGTATGTGATTTGAATATAGGCATTATTAGATTAGAAGGTTGTAGTATGGAGGCTTGTGTATTTGCAGAAAGTATTTCCAATATGCAGAACTTTTTAAAAAAGTATTTCTGCCACTGCCTGACTTGTGTCTGTCTCCCCCCCCCCCCACAGGTCATTACCAGGAGACAGCGGGTGTGTAGCAGCACCCCCTGCCTTCCCTCTCAAGCCGCTGGAGGCAGCAAGCCTCAGGTAAGGGTGGAAATTTTCCTGTGGGTTTCTTGTTCTCTGTCTGATCTTGTCACCACAGATAATTCGCTGCAGGACAGATTAAACTCTCAGCCTGAAATCAACCATCACATAAGATCCTTGTGTACGTATAACATGCACATGATTTACATGTAAACATTTTGTTGTTTCAGGTGTTCGGTGTTAGCGTGCAGTGCGTACGTTTCGCTAGGACTGGGAGACAACGTGACAGCACTCCACCACGCACAGACACTTCTCACCCAACCTTCGCTCTCGGGGTCCCTCAAGTAAGTCATGTCTTAAAGTACCAGAGTTATCCACCAAGGATTGAGGTGTTTAAAACTTGTTTTTTCCAAGGACTATAGTAGAGTGGAACTCGCTGCCACCAAGTACATGTACAGTCGGGGTATTATCACTGAATAGTTTTAAACAATGTTTTGGACTTGGTGTTTCCTAAGAATTTCTCGTTGTCTACAGTATATACTGAGATGAGTCCATACTGCAGTACCTTTATTAGTCACTAGGGGGCACAGATGTTGCAAAGAAAATCACATTGACCAGTTCTTGTAGGGCTGAGGTCACCATGCCTGCAAAGCTGATGTGTCATGCCGAAGGACGGTTATGCTCGCTATACAGATACAGATAATGTCACAGATCTGATTGGTTAGGTCTTGGATGAGAAATTGAGGTTAAAGGCAGGGTTTGTTCACTGTTGTGAACTGTTGGAGATTGAGCGAGTCAACCCCCTGGTCTCTTTGTATATTTGAGAGGCAGACAATTTTACATTCTGGCGCAGAAGAGTTTTTGAGATTGAAACGTGGGAAAGTACATTACAAGTATTTTTATGAGGCCTTGTTTCAGTGGTGAAACGTAATGTTGTTATCTGTAGGTTCCTGGGTCACCTGTACGCAGCTGAAGCCCTGATCTCGCTGGACCAGGTGTCTGAAGCCATCCAGCACCTGAACCCTGACAATGTTAGTGACGTCTCAGTCTCTATACCTGGCACTGTGGACACCGCAAGTAAGTTTGGTCCTTCTTTTCCCCTTCCTCTTTCCTCAGTTTCTACCACTCGCCCTATTGCATGTAAAATAAGCACCCAATAGAAACCCAGAGGCTATAGTGGCCAATGTAGATATTAATGGTTTTATGTTAGACCAGTACAAACATCCCATTAATGCTAATGTTCCTCTTTTTCAGCTGAGAAGGGGAAAGGTTCAGATGAAGGAGAGGAAAGAGAGAGCCAGGGTAGGTACAGTAAGACTCACTTAAGGTAAATCCTGTACAGTCAAACTGACCCAAGCAACCACCTCTATAAGCTTTTAGACCATAATGACCACTTTTCCTTGGTCCCAATTTTTTCTTCAGTAGATGTAAGAATTAAGGGATTTGCCTAAGCCAACCACATCACTCTGGTCTTTCTCAGTAGACTGACCCAGTGAGACTTGTCCCCTGGCTTCTCTGAAGTATGACGTCAACACTAGGTCAAAAGTATCCGATAAACAATGCGGTTGAGTGAAGGGTGATGGGCCCTGATGTAAATAGCATCTTTCACCCCTCTTAGGAAGTACCGGTAGTCTTGTTCGATGTCCAATATTCTTACAGTGTCCAGGTGAAACAGAATGTTAATGCTAAATGTTAAACCTTGTCTTCCCCACAGCTGTGCACAGTCAGTATTACCCCCACTCCCTACAGTCAGCCAAGTCCACTTTAATGTTCAACCTGGCCAGCGCACACTGTTTACGGAGTGAGTTTGAGAAGGCCAAGAAGTGTCTACATCAAGTAAGGCTACAGCTTCATGTTCCTTCCTTCCTTCCTTCCTTAGGCCACACCAATTTAATTTCTTGGTTAACGGATTTTTCTAGAAAAATAATGGAGCGGGCGGGCGAAAATAAAAAATAAAAACAGGCCTAGGCATCCTATTATGGCCCAAAATGGTACGATAGGAGCCATGTAGTCAACACACCAGGCTGGTTGACAATTTAAACAATGAATTTTGAACTTTTGATGATACCGTTGCATTGAAAGATGGAGTAACTGTAACAACTAGGATGAAAAGGGCTATTTTCAACTGTTCAGGGCAAAATATCAGCATTTTGCAGTTGATTCTGAATTTTTATTTTTATTTGTAAATCAGAAAAAAATGAAGCGGCGAATCCGTTAACCAAGAAATTAAATTGGTGTGGCCTTATGGTCCAATTTTTTTACCCTTAGATGTCTAAGGCCATGTTGATTTGGTTGTATGGATGACATCCCCTTGCGCATGAATTTTTGTCTGTTTTCAAAAAAGGGTTTTCAAGACAACCATACTGTAAATCATGCAAAGCAGCTGCAAATGAGCAAATATATGCTGCAAATTGCCAACTATATTGGAAACATTACTAAATGTCATGGAATGCCAAAATCAATTCCAAAGGGAAAGAAAATGTAAAGAAATGAAAATGAAGAGTTTATTATTTTCCATACAATACTCGGTGTGGTTAGTCATTTGTTCATCCTTTGTGACCACGCAAACTTATTTTTCATTTGCATGCTCGCATCAGTTTTAAATTTTGCGTTCCCAGAGGATGTCATTCATATAATCAAATCAACATGGCCTAATAGATTATTTGCTGCATTTACGAAAGGAAAGTAGTCATTGGTATTATTCAATGAACAAAGATGTTGGGACTAAAAAAAACACTCTTCTGATGTAAGAAACAGTGAATCTTGCAAATCATCCTTCCAGTTCTTGATTTCTGCTGCCAGTTAATCCAGTTAAGTTCTGTTCTATTTTACAGGCTGCCTCCCTGATTCCAGCCAATGAGATCCCTCCACAAGCAATAATGCTGGGTGTATATCTGGAGCTACAAAGTGGTGAGATATTATACATGTACACGATTATTCACAATGCTGTCTCCTCCAGATATTTTGAAAAGTGAAAGTAAATTACAGACACAAATATTTTATTTCATAACATATATTATGTAACTAGAAAGGTAACATTTGCAAAGCAAATGCATAATGTTTACCTTCGGATATGGTCTGCTCTGTTAATTCTTACACATTCACATATATGTATATGGTGACAGGAGTCTAAATGCCTACTACATGTATGAGATTGCAACATTATGTAACCCAACACCAGTTATAATGGTGACAGACGTCAACAAAAGAGGCCATTGGTCAGGTCAGAGGTTAGTGTTTGGAACAGAAGAAGAAGAAATGGAGGAAAAACAATGTTTTCCTTTGGTAAACATAGTAAAATATTTAAATTTTTGGTGCAAAAAATGTTACATGTCTAGTGTGTGGCTGTCCCCAAATACGCGTGTTTGAACAAACACATTTGTACTTACAATCTGTCTCTATCCCCCTGCAGGAAACACGAAGCTGGCACTGCAGATTATCAAGAAGAAACAACTGATACCCATGATGAAGGGGAGCGACTCCAACGCCCCCCTCCCCACCAGTAACACCCCTCCCACCCCACTCATCAGGACCAAGCAAAAACCTCGCAAATAACTTCTAGCTTTAAACTAAATTAAGGCATCCAGTGCAATTTCAGGGCGACAAAACTGGATTTTCAAACTCAATTTTCTGCTCATTCTTTCCATGTAGTAAGCTGAATCAGTCCTATCCCATAGCATCCTGATATCTGTGAGGCAAACATGCAATGTTACTGATGGTTACATCTTTTCTATTGTAGGTTGGTTCTAGCTACTTGTGGGCGGTACCCCAAAAATGAAATGATGCTTCACAAACCTTGATGCTATGCTCTTTCAAATGTTTCAAGTATGAAATTATGACAAAAATGTGATAATATATGGCACTATATGGCAGTAAATGTTGATATCAGACAGATTTCCTCACCCAGAATATTTTTGTTTTGTGGCCCTGAAATTGCATTGGATGCATTTAACCTTCCTCCAGCTAGGGAAGCAGTATGGCATCGGAATTTGTATTGGTTATGGGGCAAGGCAGCAGGAAGGACGTTAAATGTGTCAAATCAGGCAGTTTAACCTTTACTGTGCCAAGGTACTTTTTAGCACCTGTATTTGTGTTAGTTATGGGGTTAAGCTTGCAGTAAGATAGTTGAACCAAGGCGATTAGAAAATGTCCTTGGAGAACTCGGAATTTCAAGCCCTTGTTCAGACACATTTTAATGTTGATTTCAGATGAGATGGAAGGAAGAAAGATTTTATGTTGTATTTAAAACCATCATGTTTCAACAAATATTGCACTGCAACTTTGGCAGTTAGGCCTATTTTGTCCCTAAAGATATGTCCCCACCTTTGTTGTTCATATTTTGTTCTGTTTTGTTTACTTTACCTATGAATTTAAGGTACTAAGAACCAATGTTCGCACTGGCAAAAGCCTGAAGTACACACTGTTTACGCATGCAAGCATGCAAAAACTGCAGATGTCAAATTTTTCCTGCATGTAAATTTTTGGGGGTACCACCCGGAATATATAGGACTCATCTTAAGGGTTGTGTCTTTGTGGTTTTAAATGCCGAAAGTATGAAATACATTACTATGACCTCATACTAGTAGTGACTCACCAGAATTGCCCAATTCAAGAAGGGCAACTGTTCAAGGTATTCCTAACTTTGCCTGTTGCCAAAGAAAAATGTAACAAACAAGAGTCCAAGCTACTCAAGACTACCACTTTGAACTACAAAAACATACTAGTATGTGGACAGGTGGTTACCATATGCAGGATTCCTACTGCTTTAGTCAATGGGAAAGTTTTGAAGGGACCACCAAAATATGGCCACATTGGCTAGATGGTCCTTATGTAGAGGTGGGCACTTGTACAGGTTAGACTGTACTTCCCTGCCCCCTATTTTATTGGTAGATGAATATCAATGAACTGTGATCAGATATGACAGAGGAGACAGACATTCTGATGTGGCTGCTTTTGTTACCTGTATTTTGTCCAGTACTGGTATCAGATCCATGAAGTTACCATGAAAAGTCTTTGTTGTGGTAATAAACAATATTGACACGTGAAATCTGTATCCTTGTCAAGATGCATTTCAGTATTTTTGCATACAATGACTTTTTGTAGTTTTATGTGGTAGATAGGTATGTATGTGTGTGTCTTGAACACAAGCAGTGGTTTCACTAGGCAGTACTATAGGGGCCCCCTACGCTGTGATTTAGCAAGGTCTCTCAACCAACATTGGGGTGTTTCTTTTGGGGGAGAACACTGTTACCCATCCATCATGAATCTGTAAGAGAATTAAAGAGTTGACTTTACAGCAAAACTATAACAGAAACATAACCAAATTTGTCTCTCGAAAAGAGGAAATTATGTCTCTGAGGATTTTGAGTTTTAACTTTTTTATTTCATACTGCTGTCTTACCAATTTGTGATACTGTCTTGTCTATTCGTTGCTTGGAGATTAGTAGAATCGAGGACATCATGAGTCTGGTTTCATACAAACAGCTGCAGATGTTTCCAGGTCCCCCCCCCCCTTGTCCTTCAGGTGTTTTGTCACCGACGGTAGGGTGTGTTACTCTCCAAGCAGAGGTTGAGGGGGAAGATTGTTACCTTTTTATATATGTCCCCTTTTTTGTCGCTACCCGCACCAACCTTTGGTGGCCAATTGGACCCTCTTGGGCCAATGGATACTGCCTGGCCAATTTGATTTTGATACTGTCCTTTTGCTACCCTAGGATCTGCTTGGAGATTAAGGGCGTGGCACATTGTTGTCTCCGTCCTCCATTGTTGACAAACAAACAGCCGGAAGTTGGGCTTTCATGGCGGAGGCGACATCAGAAGACGCCTTCTCCTTGTAATCCGCTTGTTTGTAGAGAAAGAAGGAGTTTCTCTGTTTACGGAATAAATTTGCGTATCCGTTCTGTAGTCCTTGTTTTCGCCTTGATTCTACGGCGGCCAATGGTTTTAATACGGTGGCCAATATAGCTCCCCATCTGAATCTGCTTGGAGATTGGTTTTGGCGATGCATGTACTTAGTCCATTTTTACTAGCTTCTTAAGTAGGCTGCTTTCAAAATAGTTTTTTTTCTTGTGGGCATGTAGAAAATACATTATAGGTAGCGGCAGTCCCAGGCCGTAGGGGCAATAAAAGTGGGCTGTTAATCCACTGTTCAGGGCACGGTATTGATCAGTATTGGAAGGCCCAAGAAAGAACCAATCCCTCTCCTTCCACCACCTTTTACCTCCCCAACCAAAGTCAGGTTCCCATTTTATACCTGGGTGTAGTGAGGAAAGTACAATATATCCAATGGTCAGAGCAATTAATGTCCTTGGTCAGAGCAATGTCCAGCGGCCAATGGATACTGTCTTGCCATTGTACGATCTGCTAGCCTAGCTAGGAGATTGCTGATGTGCAAACTCATTGAAACTGGATGGTGACTAATATTGAAACCCCTAGCGTGCGCTGGGCGGGAGGCTTGGCGGGCAGGCAGAGAGATCGGGGAGCCACGACGGTCTGTCACCAGGCTACAGACTGGACCGCGCGCTCCGGCTCCATAAATAGCTATGAAAACAGGATGTTTTCCAAGGCGCGAACAATAAGCCCCGCCTACGCACGTCCAGCTTGTTTTCAAGACGTTCCTGTCGATTTCCGCGAACAGGTCCGACCACAGATGTGCGCTACAGGTGTATCAAAACAGCAGGTGTATCAAAACAGTAGGTGTATCAAAACATCAGAACGGTGCAGAAAGCGTACGATATCAAATCAATTGCAATGTTACGTTCACTACGTCAATCAAGGCTAGACATCCAGGTAATAAAATACGCCAAAAAACACCCATCCATCCATTCATTCATTCATCTATCCATTCAATCATCCATCCATTTATTTATTCTTTCATGCAGTCAAGAAAACCGTCCCCAAAAGTCGCCATCATTGTAGAGGCGTAAGATATCAATTGCAATGTTACGTCGACTCCGTTTGGCTCTCAGTGTTTACATGTAGCAAATCGTTTGGAGATTGTTTACAGTCATGTATGTAAATTTTGCTCATCTAGAATATGCGTAACGTTTGTTTATTCATTCGTAGTAAAAAAAAAAAAACTGCCCCCGAAAGTTGCCATCAGCGCAGAAAGCGTGCGATATCAATGGCAATATTACGTTGACTCCGTTCTCAGTCTTTGCACAGCGAATCGTTTGTAGCTTGTTTACAGCCGGCATCATACGGTAGAGTGGTCTCAGAATTCATTCATTCATACATAGTCAACAAATCTGTCCCCGAAAGTCGTCCGAGGTCAGTTCGCCTTTGAGTCACCGGCAGCTCGTTACGTAGCCTCTACCAGGCTTCGAGAAGCGGCTGGAAAGAGTAGAAATTGTCTAAATCCATAGATACTGTTCTACTCTTTACAATCGCTTCTCAAACCTGCCACTTGTGACGGTGGACAGGTTCAAATTACACAAATATTTTAAGTAAAGTGGATGCATATAATGTCCTTGGTACGACCATGAAAACAAAAAGACGTAACCTTTGTTGTTATATATACTGTGGCATTTTTCATTCATTTATAATAATCCCGTGACCCCCTTGAAATGTATGAAAAGGGCCGATTAGAGCTTTGTTGAGATTAAATAGAGTCACAAACAAACAAATTGCATAACTCTGTTTTCTTCACCTGCTTAGGGTCACGGCCATACCCGAAAGGAATGATGGGAGCTTCGTGACGTCAATGCCTGGAGGAACGCCTCAAATAATAAATATTCAAAAAAAAATCGGCATGGTGCAAATGTAATTGCAAGGCGCAAAAAGAATTATGGATGAAGAAATCTGTCTGATATTGACATATCTGCCATTTCTTAGCACACTTTTGTCGTCATACTGGGAACATTTGAAATACATGTACCTCGAAAACAAGCTACGCGAAGCGTCTCTTTTATACTGTGTTGGGGAACCGCCCATAAACGGCTAGAACCAGCCTATGACATGAAACAAGCAAAAATTTGGCATTTTGCCTAACAGATATGAGTATGACGTGGGACAGGGTTGATCCAATTTATTAAGACAGTAAAAACATCAGAATCATACTGGTCTGCCTGTCTACCTGACCTGACCCACAAAACAAGTCGAGCAGAAAACTGGACACTGTTTAGAGATTAAAACTCCCTACAGTTTCCCTTGCAGGGATCCATTGTCCGATTCCTTCGAGTGGTCATCTCAGGTCATTGACCTAAAAAAACTACACATCCACTGACGTCACAAGCTATCTACATAACAGTTAAACTGCCTCTTATTGGTCCTGGGTAAACTTTGGAACAATTCCGCTGACAAATGATACAAAGGTCCACCCGATTGGCGCCAAATCCTCAGCGAACTTTAGGCATGTGATTTTTTACCTCCGTGCTTTAGACCATGCATGTTGAGTCGATTATAATATAAGGACGACATGATGCGGGCGTGCGAATAAAGAGTTTTGGCAAAAAGTTGCCTTTATTATGAAATCTAGTACACGGTGATGTTGAACAAATGAGTATATAGTAATGGTATGGCGTTTCTTCACTTTATATCTTCTTTTCGATTCTTTTGGATCCGGAATTAATTTTGTCATTCTACAACATTAGTATCATCTTCAAATATTTTTTTTTATTTCTTTTTATTTTTATATTTGCTCATTTTTCAGCTGCTTGGTACGATTTACAGTAAAACTTTACAAAAACTTTATTTTCTTTATCAAATGGGCGAAAATTTATGCGCGCGTGAATGTCATTCATATAGATCCCGTTCATACCAGACTTTTAAAACTCGGTTGAAACCGCTAAATAATTAGCGGAGGAAAACCCGGCTAAAACCCTTAGCGTACATACCAGACTTTTCATAACCGGTTTTGTAAAAATCCTGTCCGGTGAATAATCGGGCATGACGCAGTTTGAATAGCCGTTCCTCCCGCTCTTCCGATTGCTGTCGCCTTCTTGTATTCCGTCTTCATGTTCATTACCTTTTACTGCGGCACTGATCTTTAAATAAACCATATAGTCACATCAACATGGCCTTACGCCTCTTTACGCGTTGTTGGCCGGAAAG